CCTGTTCTGATGTGCCTCCAGCTCCCACTGGAGATGAGGTTAGAGCTGATGATGTGGCTGTAGAGTCTGAGGCTGAGACTGATGAGGAGCAGCTCGGTTTTCAAGTGGAGACCACCTATGAGGGCCTGATTGAGGTCGAGGATGTTACGACACGAGCCTACACCCCGGACGTAATACGGCGTACAAGAATCCTAAGAGCCTAATATAAGCCTCATAGCATTCATAACATAAGACATAAGAGAAAAGTTATCGAATTTAAAATTCTTTTGATCCATACAATCGAAAACTTCATTTTAAACCAACAGCGGAAGTCTACTTGTCTCACATGACCATCTAATACAACTTGAATTAAGAATAGGGTCACGGTCCTTACAATAGAAAGTCTAAAAAGTGTCAAATACAATGAAAGACATGAAACATCAATAAAGCACTTGTCCTCGGATCCATGAGGACATACCACAAGCTTTGGAGAGAATCGATCCAAGCTTTGAACTAGAAGAAATCAACGCAAATGTCGGAACCTACACTCTATAGAAAAATAGAAGAAATATGGGTAAGCACAATTAATGTACTAAGTATGATAGCCATGCAAAAATGGTCATGCTTAAAAAGGACATTTTGTTAAAAACCATGCTATATGCCAATTCGAGAAAACATCATGAACTTTAGTATAAAAAGCATTAGATACAAGTATAATCACCATATAAGTCATCACAACACCTTAGAATCATCACCTTAAGCAACCCTATGCTATACTTGTGCAATGTAGGAATGGCATCCCATACTACCATTCATAGTAAGTAGGCATTTGGCCATGCGATACCATATCATGCTATGGTATCGTGAGATGGAATTAGGGTTTGGACATGTGATTTTACGTTGATTCCATCTCATGATTCCATAGCATGAGATGTGATTCCATATTCTCCCAAAACCATGATATGGGAATTCCATATCATGATTTGAGATATTTTAGTACAAAAATTGATCCACGAGTTTATATTTTGTTAAAACAACCCCACATTTATATCTACTAACCATTTATTTCATATGTAAATAAAATTTATAATCACATCATTACTTTTTAAAATTTATTATTCTCACCGACATAAAATTTATTATTCTCACCACCACCAACATAAAATTTATTATTCCCACCAACATATAGTCACTTTAACACTCTATTTTGATCATTGTTACTCATTGTTTCATAATGTACTGTATTGTATTGTACTGTATAGTATGGTAGATACAATGCTTGGCTAGAATCTATTATTTGTTGTTGTTTAATAACATTTTTATTGTTTGGTTTGATTGTATCGTACTATATTGTAATTTATAAATTTACTAAAATATCCTTAATTATTCTAGGGTAGGAGGTTTGACTAGAATTAAATAATATAGGGTAACTGGTAAAAAAGTATTATGAAATATTATGCCATGATATAATTGGAATAAAAAATTAAGTAATAATGGGAACACACCAAATCGGTTGTTCCATAAAATAGGGGTTTTCATTGTTACGTAACAACGAAATTTAACAATACAATACAATACATTTTAAGTAACAATCAAAACAAACATTGTAGGTATAGTAACGATACAATACAATACAATGGGTAACAATGATCCAAACAAAGTGTAACTCACACCAACCGATTGTTATTGTAGGTATGGTATCGATACAATACAATACATGGGTAACAATGATCCAAACAAAGTGTAACTCACACCAACCGATTGTTAAAGTGATGAAATACTTATGGTCTATGAGCATGAAAATATAGTTGCGGATGATATTGACCAACAAATGGTTCAATGTAACAATGTTGGTTCGTCTTCTCGGTCACATGATCGAGAAATGCAAGTTCAATGTGAGGAAATTATCCGTACTATGTGGGAGGATTATATTAAAGACTAGTACACTACTAATTTTATGTTTACTAATTTTTTTTTTTAATTAAATTAAAGTTAGATGAAACAATTACTTAAGTGGAGAACAAATATCTTTGTAATAATTTATTATGCGATTTTGTAATTTTTTGTTTATTTGATAAGATTGAATAAACAATTGAGGCTAGTTTAATAGTTTTACAACTTATGGAATTTTTTATGTTTGTGAGAAAATATACAACACAAAAATTTCATATCGCATGTCCAAACAAAACTTCAATTTCATCTCATGATTGCATATCATGATACCATATCACATGACCAAACGGGCCCTAAGTACCACTTTGAAGCCACCATAGATGAACTTACCATTCTTCCTTCTCATCTTTAGACAATAATCATAGATAAGGAACATATACTTTTCATAAGTCATGACAAGGAAAGTAACTCATAATAACATTTCCAAGTAAACCATTCATAATTACATAAAGCCTTTAAATCAACATTCTCATTAGCATCGTTAGGAGCACATTCACTTCATTAGACATTAAGACATTGGAGAATCACACCACAGCCCTCTCAAAACCTACTCGTGCAATGCAGGAATGGCATCCATACTACCACCCACACTTCGTAGAACCTCTTGAGTAACCATAGCACGTATCTCACATGATGGGAATAAGCATTAACCGACATAGACCATGTGAGCTTAACATGGAATTCGGTGTCTATATCACATAGTAAAGGGTTGGTCTACTTGCCTAAACTAGGACCAGTAACATTTTAGCCTAGGTGGATCCACTAGCTATTAACCTATGTGGGCACATAGGTATGGGATAAGAAAGATGTTCATTGAAATCTGACCTAATATAGGGAGAGCTTCCATCTTACCATATCCACTCGATACTAAGATTCCATTCCCATAGAGTAGTTCATTTTCATTAACATTATTATACTTAAGAGGGCTACCACCATTAGGTCTACCAACTATAAGTACATTACACACATTAAAGGGTGCCATGAGCCTACCGATTTAAGGTACATTATTAGGATAGCTCATTGAATCCTCATGAAAGGGTGCCATAATCCTACCAATTCAAGGTTCATCATTATCATTCATGGAAGGGTGTCATTAGCCTACCGACCCGAGGTACATTATTAAAGTAGTTCATAGACTCATCATGCAAGGTCTACCACCATTAGGTATACCGATCCAAAGCCTAGAATACTTTATTAATCATTTATGAATGGGCTACCACCATTAGGTCTACCGATTCAAGACACATTATTCATTACATGAAAGGGCTACCACCATTGGGTCTACTGATTCAATGTTCATTAAGTCAAGATACATTAATTACACAAGAAGAGGATGACTAAACTTACCAATTCAAGGTACATCAATCAACATTACTTTCATTTACACAAGAAGACGATATCCTAAGCCTACCAATTAAACATGTAACATTTCATTGAAGAAACCTTTCACATATATCATCATCATTCATAAGTGCATAATTGATAATAACCTTTTAATAATAACACAACTTCATTATAGACATGATCACATTACTTTCATTGAAATCACAAATCATTTACAAAGCATCATGATTATACATCAATTCTTCATACTTTGCCTTTCAAGGCCATGAATCACAATTCACCAACACACCTACAACACTACAATATAGGCATGAATAATGACATAATTCAATAAACTAAATCAATATAGACTTAATCTCTTCACATACTTCCATAATCAATCAACCCACAACTTCACAATTTAGTATTTTTGGGGAATCATGGGTCATGGGGTAAATTCATCATAATTCAACATTAATTCATCAATTCAATCATAATTCTTCATAAATCAATCATTGAAAACGTTTTGAAGTTGAACCCATGACTTAGATTGAAACCCTAACTTTTGGAGGAAATTGGAAGCTTTGAATTCATGTTTTGAAGGGACTCCTTGGATGAAACTTAACCAAGAATGAAGACTACCATACCTTGATTGAATAAACTCCATGAATTTGAGTGAGAAAGGTGAACTCTTGAACTCCAAACCTTGACTTCTTCTTCTCCAATAGAGGTTTCTAGAGAGAGAATTATTTTGGAGAGGAGGTGGTTTATATTTTGGGTTTTGGGGATTATGAGTTGTAAAGGGTAGTTAATAGTTTGAAAATCCTTAAATAACTCTAAATAATCAAAATAAACTGACCCCTAACTTAACTAACCACCCTAGGAACTTACCACTTAGTCCCGCACTTGGCTGAAAATAGGCAGCTGGCAGGTGCCACCCACACCCCTAGACCTACTGATCGTGGGTGCACTCACGCCCAATCCTACAGTTCCGTGGGTGGTGGCCTGAAGCTCCTAAAAATACCCCTTGACTCATGAAGCCTCCCCAAGAGGCGTGGTGGGACCTACGGCCTGTAGGTCCCATCCGTGGGTCACCAAAATTTGGCAGATTTTGGGTTTTTGGGCAGCATTGGGGGTTAGACTTTAGGGTCTTCCTCAAGGACCCTTGGTTGGTCCTTGAGGGGTCGTACCTTGACGTTTAACCCCTAAACACATCAACCTAAAGTCGGGAAGACATTTTACAACTTAAAACCCACTACAAGAAAATGGATTTGTAACGACCAAATTTCAACGAAAGAATATAATTCTAGTCGTTAAAAGTATATTTATAACGTCAAAAAAAAAGCCAGCCATTAAAATAAAATTTTAATGTAATATTAGTATAGCAACAATATCCGCACCTCAAAAAAATTTATATCCAGACGTTAATAATAAAAAAATTGCACATATTTTTACTTTCACCTTTTAGTTTTTACAAAAGAATTATTAGTCCCCTCTATTACCCCACCCCCTACTGCTGGTCTCCCATTACCCCCACCCCTACGTCGATTCTGTAAGAAAACATAACCAAGAACATCAAATTTTCCGCACACGCAATTCCACTCCCCCACCCCTCCGAAAAGTTGCGTCTAGCAGAACGTGTCTTCCAACTCCTCTGCTAGAAATAGAGATACCTACGGGAGTGAATAACATAAATTCTTAATCAGAGTGACTCCTAATTTCCAATGCATAACTGATTTGTTGGAGAAAAATAAGCAAAACAAACCACAATAATGGTGGTACCGTTCCTAAAATCCAGGTTTGTTTTTAAAAATTAAGCTATAGCTCTCTATTGAAGGTCTTTATAAATGAAATCAATGTCTATTTTTTCTAATTGAAGAAGTCACCTCTTTCTTTTTACTTCAAATTTCACTTGAGTTTTGCTGGTCTTTGCTGAAATTTCACCTGAGTTTTGCTGGTCTTTGCTGCGTGTGATTGTAACTTGACATATTCTTGGACTTTCCTTCCCTTCAAGGTAAGTTTAGGTTGTTTTGACCATGAATTGTTATGTGGATATTCTGATTTTGACCATTTTTGAGTTTATGTTGTATGATTCATAAGTTTTTTCAGTAGGTTATTGGTGCACATGCTCTTAAATTATGCAATATGTTTGTGGGTATTGATGTGTGTACTGTTGGTAGCCTCGATTGACAATCAAAATAAGTCGCAATAATGAAATTATTGAATAAATTTGTTAGTCTCATAATTTCTAGGATAAAATTTCCATTATAAATTTTGATGTAGAGATAAGGTTTTCTTATTCCTGTTTTAACTGACCCCTTTAATTAGGTCAACATGTTCCTTAATGCAGAATTCAGGTAGTTTTACATTGGATCAGGATGATTCAACTCCCTTTAGTATTTTGAAACAAAACATGTTTGTTTTACTAGGATGTTCAACAACATCTACGGTGTTTGATCCAAAACAGTACTTGTGTGATAGCGGTTCGGGTTCAAATGTATGCAGGGGAATGTATTCTTGTAAAGGGGTGACTGGGACTGGGTTAGAACCAAATAATCCAATTTGAACATGCTGTGTCTGTGATCCACCAGTTCATGTTGGTTCAGGTTATGGTTTGAACTTGCCTTTGCTTTAGTGTTCTTCGTATTCATCGATATATAGTTTTGGAGGTGATGAAGGAGATCCTATGAAATGGGAGTTTAGGATTTCTTTGTTATATAATGATTCATATTATGTTGATGAATCTTGCAAGAACTGTGAGGATAGTGGTGGATCTTGTGGTTTTTCTGGTGCAGATGAGTCTTTTGCTTGCATTTGTAGGAATGGTGTCCTAGAAAGGTTTTCAGCCATTTCTTTGTTGAGCAATAAATAACTCATGTTCTAATAGGAGTGATAGCAGCATATTGATGTTGCTATATCAGAACCTCCTTGTTTATATCTTTACTAGTCTATAAAGGTTAACATCATTGTAACCAGATCATTAGCTACAATTCCCCTTCCCTTTCTGGCCAGCATCTTCAATCTCTCTATTTTCCTTCATTTTGTAGCTTATTTAGTGTAGTTGTTGCCTTGCCCTTACAAATAGTTTTAGTTGGTGAATAAGAAACAATTTCTCGGTATTCATAAATCACTCTCCACTAGCATCTCCATTAAATACAATTCTCCTTGATCCAATTGTTGGCTTTGGTTTATTATGTTACTGAAAGCGAGTGCTTCGTTGTTTAAAGTGAGAAGCAAAGCGAAGTGAAGCTGTATTGCTTTTTTAAAGCGAAGCGATGCTATGGTGAAAAAAGCAAGTGCTTCAGTCCAGAAGTGGGGAAGCAATTTCTCACTTTTCTACTTAACTAAGGTTGACAGTAACTAGGGCTTTTTTTTATTTCGTAAAAACATTTCGTGCCTTCCTTCCAAACATTTCCCTCTATTTCACTTCTCATGTTGTGACACTCTTTCAAGTGACTGCAAGTTAAGTTTCTCATCTTTTCTTCTTCTTTTTTTCTCTTCTTATTTTCTCTGTTTCTCTGGCTACAGTTATTTTTTCAACTGCGTCTGCAATTTTCCCTGTTTTGTTTTTTCCTGTGTATAGTGAATCATATTTGATTTTTATGTATCCTCTGAATCCAATACGTATGTGAGGCAACATAATTGGTGCTGTC